CCAATTGCCTTCGCGTGGAAAGTATGGCTTTTATCTTTATTTTTAAATGGAAAAGCATTTACCTTAAACAAGACTAACAACAATTACATAGTTGAAATGAATTTTCAAGCTGTTAGCGTTGTATAATGTGATATAACAAAGCCACGAAAACTTTGCCTGTGGAATGTTCGCTATAAACGCGTAAGTTAAAACTACAATTGTCTCGAACATTTTTATGTAAATTATTAATAAGTAATAGCATGGTTTTTCGTGAAATTTGGATAAACATGCACTCGTGAGTTTTTCAAATACCTCAAACAGCACTCGTCCTTCGGACTCGTGCTATTTTGAGGTCTTTGAAAAACTCACTCGTGCATGTAATATCCAAATTGCACTCGAAACCATACTATTACCTATACTAATAATATACAAAAATATTACCAGTGTTTCAACTGAGTGCATAATAAAGCCACCCTAAATCGTGCATGGTATATTATTAGCATAGTTTTGATTTTCGAGTTGGTGGCATATTATTTATGACTGTAGACGTTATGTATATTTTATTCTACATGTATTGTACTATTGTCTGTTCATAGGCAGCCCAGCAAAATGTGTAAAAATGCATTAAACGCTTAAAAATACTTATAAAGTTCGTCTCAATTTGCTATCAAGCGATTTATTTGTGTAGCTCATTATACATGCAGATTCCGATGTTTACGTCATTGTTTCTTCATGAAAATACAATGACGTAAACATCGCAATCTACGTGTATAATGAGCTACACAAATAAATCGCTTGATAGCAAATTGAGACGAACTTTATACGTATTTTTAAGCGTTTACGTTACACATTTTGCTGGGCTGCGTATGGTCTGTTGTTGTATCTTTAATCGGAAGAGTGCCTCGCATGGGACATCGAGTCCCGTTCGCACTCCTACCGTTTGGTCACTATCCAATAAAGTATTTAAAACAAGAGTGGAACTTTTTGAAAACGCAGCGAATCCGGATACGCGTGGACGTACTGCAACCGGCTTTGAAAACGATGAAACGATGACGTAAATCGATGAAACTTTCATTAACGCTAACAACACATAACAGTGTTGTATCTTGAACGGTCTCTGCCAGTGTAGGAAGTGGCAATAGTAGGAAAGTTTTTGATTGATAGGAATGCAACTTCCTGAAAAATACAAGGAGAACTTCGACATTGCCAAAAGAGTGCAAAAATTGGCCAAGTGTGGCAAACCGGGCCAGTTTTGAGCATGGCAATTGCTAGATAGTATGCTTCAAAATAAGGTTTTCGTTTTTATATCAATTTTTAAAATAATTAAAATAAGTTAGGGTTAGGTTAGGGTGAGGGTTGGGTTAGGGTGAGGGTTAGTATTAGGGTTAGGGTTTTGTTTTGCGTTAGGATAGCTTTTCCTACGTTATAAAAACGAAAACCTTATTTTGAAGTATACTATCTAGCGATCACCTTTTGGGCATCGGATTGGGAAATCTGCTAGGCCTATAGCTTTACACGGCACTCTGCTTTCATTTAATTAACATGTTACGTCATACTTACCAAATGCGCTAGCTCAAAATTGGCCAAATCTGCCAAAGCCAGATGAAACAACATTGTGAAGAACATGATGTGAAGAAGTTAGCCATGCCTCGGATAGGATGTGGTCTAGATAGACTGGATTGGAATAAAGTAAGAGAAATGATCAAACAAACATTTCACGAAACGAACATTGAGCTGACTATATATACTCTCTGATAAATAATACATAATTCACGAGGTGAAAGTCGAATTATAACAGAGCCGTCTGTTGAACAAACTGCCCAAGGCATGCTCATATATGTTGTCATTAATTAAATAAATTATTTTTTATTTTTAATTCTATAGGATTATACGGAAGGTTTTTCAATATCTTATTATTTTCGTAACGTTTCGGGCAGTTTAACTGTCCTTCTTCAGACTATGGACTACAAAAAATTACTGTTACAGGTAACTCCCGAAACGTTGCGAAAATAATAAAATATTGAGGAAAAACCTTCCGTATCATTTCAAAACATTTTACGAAGCGGTTCAGGTTAAATTTTACATTAAATCAAAGCTCACAAAATGCAGAACAACATACCTACAGTACATATTTCGGAAATCTATTGTTATATAGTTAAAAGCAATAATCTTTCAACTATTTTTGGCGTGTTGTACAAAAAATATAATAAAATTTGTATTATATAATAATTTATATAATAATATAATAATTTATCCCACCCATTTTTCAACTGTGACCCTAACCATCTCCCTCTATCAACTGTCCTTATATAAACATCTAATAATTGAGACAAGTAAATTATGGCCAATTATTGCCCACAAATATTAGCTATGATGGCAAATAGATCTTCTGCGTGTTTGATATCCAATATTTCATATGCTAACTAACTTCATTCTATATTCTCCAAGCACTTCAATATAACATCACGCAAACAGATAGTTTCCTCATGACAAAAATCACGCATTTCATCTGTCATTCCGGGTTTATTTAATGCAATGTCGTGTTCGTTACCTGCTCGTCCGATCTCTTGGTAATATACCTCAAGAGTACAAGGATGTCCAATGTGAATAACTTGTCTCACGTCGGAGATGTTTACCACCAGTCCAATTGCAACTGTAGCAAAAACAATTCTTGGGAGTTTCGATTTGTCCGAACCTTGCAAAGGACTGGTCATAAAGTAACTGTTAGGGTGGGCTGGAGTGATTTGGGATGGGCCATGGAAAATCTTTGGGCAGTTCGGATGGGCCGCCAATTATTTTGTATGTCTACGGTTGGGCCACCAAACAAAATCCCATATCTACTTTCATCCAGGGGCATAGGAAGCCAGGGGGGGGGGGGGTCGGCGCCAACCATGGTGTCGCCTAGTGGGAGTTGTCCCCCCTAACTTTTACAAGCCTCCCTGCTTTCATCACTTATGATAAATATAATAGCAAATAGGATTTTAAAATCAAACATAATACAAATCTATAACAGGGCTGTACACTGCACAGAGTGCCTGGCAGCAGGGGCAACTGCCCCCCCCCCCCCACGCCCTAAAATTGAACTAATTTCATAATGTGATTATGCTTGTAACGGATAATTATGCAGTCAAGAAATAAAAACTTCATGCAAACAATAAGTGTCTATACAGCCGGCTATTTAGTAAATTGTCACTTGTCAATCGATACTCATCGAATTTTCAAAACTTTATTGTGATCATATGAAGCAAAAGTTCTGTCACTTGTTGTTTACACTTGCCAATGTTAACTGTTGCGGAACATACACACTATTCGAGGAACATGCATTACTGTAGCAAAGAGTCAATCATGTATCGAAGACCATGTACTGAATAGTAGAGAATGTTTTGAAGGTCATGAGTGAAGTATATAATTCCATTCCAACCCTGTGCACAGTTAATGATATACCACACTGTTCAGTTTAACTCAGCATATCCACACAAAAACAATTTGTGTTGTGGAAGAATATCTGTTTGAGTAGAAGGTATCACAAGTTTAGTTTAATTTGTACATTGTGTGCCATTGATCTGATCCATCCACATAATATATGATTATTGTAGCTGTTAAGTTATTTTCCATACTGATGAATTTAGGTAAGATTGTCTTGCAAGTGGGTTGTTCTGACAAAATTATCCAGCCAATATCCAGTAGATCAGTACATGTATTCATCATTCTTGTATTAATATCTAAACAAAAACATTTATATTAGGAAGCAAAATGACAATGTAATGAGGGAGGGTAGGGATTCTTTTATTAGCATTTGAAAATGGTTGTAACAATTTTGATTAATTAACTGTATTGTGTAAAACCAAAATGTATATAAAGTATAATTTTAACTGATGACATCTTTACCTTTGCTCTAACAGTACATTTGATGACAAGTTAGTTGGACTGTTGTTTTGAACAGAGTTACAGAAATACAGGACCAGGATTTAATTCAATATCTCCTGAGAACATTAGTTTCTTGTGATATTGTTAATTGGCAATATAATGCCTGCAGCCAGAGTTTTGACTGCTTAAAATATTACACAATGATTGTTTTTATACTGTATAAATGTATAAATGTATAACTACTTACCAGATGAGGATAAGTTTCCATGTTGATAGATAACTTTGGAATAATATCACAAGTAGAATGGTGAAAACAATACAGCCAATTCAAGATAAAATCAAGATATTTTTGAAGCCAAAATATGGCAAAGAATAACACGAGCACACGTCTTACACGAGGCCAAACTACGCTCATTCGCAGGTTAGGTGCGAGCACGATGTAAACAATTGATGTAAGCTAATCGCTGATTGGCTTAATTATACAAGCTCGTCGCTGAATGGCTATATAGGGGTTAAACGTTAATACTAATGTGCTTCGCAGATGCAAAAATAAAGATATACACCGGCGCTGTATTGATATATATGTTCATACCTGGAAGTTGTTTTTTTTTTCATTATAAAAGTGTATTTTCCCAATTTAGATTGAGTGGGTGGCAGACCTGCCAAGTTCGGAAAATAAGAATGCGTGACCAGGGCCGTTGCGAGGACTTTGCCTTTGGGAGGGGGGGAGAGGTTAGATTTACCGCCTGATTGGCCTGAATTTTTCAATTCACCTGATTTTGCCCGCCCGCGAGCTGGAGGCGCTATCGTGGTTGGCGCCGAGCAAAAAAATTTGAAAATTTGAATTCTCTAGACCGTCGGAAATAGCATTATTAGAGTCTTTCCTTCCCAAGATTTCAATGTTTTACTACTGCCTAACAATGAAGATAAGTAAAATAACTACTGATCAATATGACAGTGTTACTTACAGTTTAATGTGACTGGGAAAATTGAGAAAATTTTGGAAATTTGGAGTCTCCAGATCGTGGATAGCGTTATATAATGGTAAAAATGCGTAACTTTAAGATCATTTTAGTTATGCGTGAGGGACAGCTGGAACAAAAGCAGAATGCGTAACTTTCACGCGATATGCGGGAACTTTGGCAGGTCTGGGGTGGGTCATGAAATAAATTTGGTAAGATTGGATGGGCTTTAAAATTTTTATCTACATCCTAAGATGGGTCACCAAACTTTTTGGCAAAATTTGTGATTTACCTCCAGCCCACCCTAGCAGTTACTTTATGACCAGTCCCTAACTGCGAAAGTATTTCCCGTTTTCTTTCATCTGTTTGAGGAGAATGGTATTGGGCAAATAGGCAATTTGTAGACTCGACATTACGCTTCGGATGAAAGCTTTCTTCTCCTATCACGTCTAAGAATAATTGATGTGCATAACCACACCAATTTAAGGGGGTGTAGATTATAGTAAGAGGATAGTTGACCAATTGTTGCTTTAACTCTTTCGCGATGGATAATAGTGTGGAATGGTACTAAGATATGAATGTTTTTTCTATTCAAATTTACTATAATTATACGAGGATCTTTCAAACTTAAGTTGGCAATCAATGCTTTTTGCGTTTGTTTCGGAGCTGTTGCTGTAAGCAGTAGAACTGGTGAAGATGGAAATAGTGATGTCAATTGTGAAAGTTTTCCATAATCCTTTCGAAACTCCCTTCCCCATTCCGCAACAAGGTGCGTTTCGTCAATTACTATGGTGGAAATCCTTTCTTGGAAAGTAGAGCTCATGAGCAATTATCTGCCTTCTTCTCAAATATGAATAGTTTTGGCTGGGATGGACTAGTTACAGAGATGTCGGATCGTTGTCCAGTTTTGTTCAATGCTTTGTTAGTATCCATGGGACATTCGAAGGAGGAAGTGAAAGATGTGGGTCCACGTATTGGTATGTGCTATGCAATTTTGATGTAGACAAGAAACCATGAATTGAGTTTGGTACAGCGAATTAACACAGTTTTGATGACCAATGGGGGTACTAAAAAACATGTAACAATATATTGGCACAATACATTCATTTATTATGGTTTAGCTGATAAATTCTTTTAATATATACAGTATATGTAATATATATTTGTTTACCGTTCTCTCTTTATTAAACCCCCGGGGGGCTTATCTTTTCAGGCCTTTCGAGGAGTCTTATATGAGAGGGGGGCTTGTTTATTTATCAATAAAATCTTAGCAAGAACCGAACAAAATTCATGTTTAAGAATTGTCTTGTAACGTGTTATCATAACGTATGCTATGTAAAATTTAGTATATCCATATGAAATTGGATATTAATGGACCCAAAAATGAAATACAAATTACTTTGATTAAACTGGTGTTATGAGGGGCTAATAGAGAGCTAGAATATGGTATGTATAAAAATTTTTCATTTCCAGCGTTATGTTCAATGTCAGAAAATGGGATTTTCCATGTCACACACCAGCAAAATGAACATGCTTGACCTCATTGGTGGGCACTTTTCAGACAAAGTGGTTGAAGAAGTTACATGCGCGAAGAAAATTCAAGGCATTGGTGACAACTGGGACGTGAAAATACATGCACACGATATGCTTTCAACAAATCAAAACACTGATTTGCACTACTTTGCTTCAAATCTTATCGTTGAGCGTGTACCATCAGAGAATCGGTCAAATGTGTCCCCACAACTTAAGATATCTTCCCCCCATAACACAGCTTTCCTTCTTGACAACAACGAGGCCAACAAGTTGAGAGATGATATAAAAGTGTTGCTTGGAAGAGTTCTGCTGCAGAAAATACCGCACTTATCGTTTTTGAAACATGTCATTCCCAATCATGCACATCTGTACAAGAAAGAAATGTCCAAAAAATCAATCATTGTTCCTTTACCAATGATGATGAAAGATGAAAAAAGTATGAAGATGTAGTTGATATTCTTGATGGTTATGAGCAGCATTTGGAAAATATCTTTGTTAAAGCCGATGTCATTAAAAAACCAGTTGAGGATACCAATAGCGAAACACCTCCAATAATTGGCAGACAGTCAGCATCAGCAGATCAAGCAAGGGCGCATTTCAACAAAGATGATGAGAAGGATTATATGAAGAAGATATCTGTATCGTTTGGGGGAGCCAGATGGCCAGGGTGAGGTTTGCGGGAGCAAAAGATTTAAGAACTGGTGCCCATACTGCAAAGCATCGTTTTGATCATTGTTGCCCGTTTGTTCCCGGAGCTGTTCAACAAAAACATGGCCTATGTTCAGGTAAAAGAGAAATAAACTTCAAACAAACAATGTTGCATTTGAAGATTTAAGATATAAATTTATTTGCTTAATATTCTAGTTTGTATACAACCTCCTATACAAGGCAGAATCAACCAGGGAAGTTGGCACCTTAAAGTTCTTTCGTGAAAAATTCAATCACCGTAATGTAACTCCGAAGAAAGTTACTGATTCTTATGAAGGGTGTGAGCAATAGCTACTTCAGGTGGGTCAAGCATACCTTTTGGAAGCAGCAATGGAATTTTGGGGAATGGGGAATTTAGAAGAAAGCCCAACCAAACATGTACCTCCAGCCAGCAAGGAAAATGAAAGAAGATGGAATATTTTCAGGAAGTTGTTTGGAAATTTGTAAATGAATATGCTTTGCCAAAAGGAGACCAAGAAATTTCAATCTCTGAATCGGACAAAGTAAGGTAGGTAGCATGCTGAAAAATAATATTTTAGGAACACCCCATTCATAATTGACTTATATTTTTTGACAGGGCATATGGGCTCAATGTTATTGAGCTTGTAGTTTTCCCCATGCAGTTGATCGATACATGTAAAGAAGAGTGATGGAGAAAGAAGCATGATCAATAAGAAAAGGCTATAATGTACTTCAAGTCATCTAACTCGTTTAAAAACTATTCTGTGGAGATGTTCACATGGATTGCTCAAATCAAGTCTCTGTGCTGTGAAGAAATGGCTCATCGCTTGAAATGGGGCAGATTTATGAATTGGAACGGTGGCGAAGGGGAAAATATAGCATGTGATATGGCGCAGGAGATATGTAATCGTGTCAGCAAAGATGTCGTCAGTGGAATGGAGGCCAACAAGACTCCTAAAGCAATGATGAAAGCATCTAAAGCTGCTGCAGGTGTCGATCAAATAGTGAAGAGAGTGAATGAAGTCAGCAATATCAAGCCAGCATCTCAATTGCATACGCACAAGGAAACCAGTAATGAAAAAGTCATGATGTTTCCGGATCTACGAAAATTACAACCATATTCAACACAAAGAAAGGCAGATATCATCATAATTTTAAAGAAATTGTTGTGTCACCAACATCATCAGTTAATATGAGTGAACTTTTCACATGGTTAGAAAGCACAAAAAGCAGATTGCTATGGGAGAAAAAAAATAAAATAAAAAGGATTTTTCATGAATAGAAACGATTAAATATAACTGGAGTATCATTGTGACCTCGTGGGTACATATAGAATTCGTATAAACTGACTTACTGAGTGTCGTAAGAACGTTTCTTCAGTTTTTTATATGTCAAAGAAATGTATAAGGAAGAATGTAAGATATCATTTCTCACCAGTAACAACCTGCAGGGATATTGTGAGTATGTAATTCCCTTATTTACACGTAATTTTCAGATTTCCTTATATACTTTGTTCATATTTTACTCGTAATTAATCCAACGTACCGACAATAACATTCATGAGTCTCATGATGCAATTTAACTGAAATATATAAAGTATTTTGTAACTTACCTTTGGCTGAAATTCTAAGTATTGCTGCTTAAAGTATAGATTTTGTCTTTTGGAACCTTTTGTTTAAACGCCTCCATGTTTAATTGCTTCCCGTTTTAACTCTTTCGAACCCCCTTCCCCTTGATAGCCATCATAAATTTTAATGAGATTCAAAAATACCCCCCAAATCAGGGAGTATTTGACCAGCATTTACCAGAGCCTTCGCCCTTAGCAGGCCCTGGGTACGAGGTTGATTTGGTGCTGGCAGGCGCCTGCTTGTATAAAGAAGCAACTGCGAGCCATTTTGTTTTGAATTCAAAAATTGTTCGAGTTTTTAATAAGTGGGGATCGTGATGAGACTTGGGTTCAACATCGTGTATAAAAAGAGAGCTACCAGATTTAAAAATTATAGCTGTGGATTTTTGACCAAAGGGAAAATTGATAATTTATAGTCTTATTCGGGTGAACAAAGCAGGGATCTGGCTATGCATGTGGTTCAATATATAAACATATATTTTAATTCATCACATGTACGGCGTATGCCGCAAGAGCTATAATTAAGCTCATCGCAGGGACGTTGTACTCATATTGAACCATACGTCGGTATGGTTCAATATATAGCACAGTAATAAAATAGAGAAAATTGATTCGTTAATCATTATAACGTTAACAATCATTAATCTACATCATTAATTAACATGTTGTGGTCATTAAGGGCCTGTTCATATGATCCCGCTTACCGGGACGTCTCGCTTACCGATGATCTCGCCGCCTATCTATTTTCCTATAAAATTTTGCATTGTGTTCATATGGGAAAGCGAGCTGGCCCGCTTGCCGAGATCTCGTTTGAATTTGCCGAGATCATAGGTAGGCGGGATGAAAAATTTTCCATATGAACACGCCAGCCCGCTTACCGGGATGAAGTGAAACAAGTCTTGCCGGTTTAATTTAACACTTTTTACTTGGTTTTATGTTTGTTTTGTAAACAAGTATTAAATAACCACCTGAAGCAATACTTTTTCTTGTAAATAAACGAAGAAAAACACTAAAATCGCTAAGTATTTGTATTGCTTGACTGAAATGTAGAAGTTTTGCATATGCTAATTATAGAACTACAATGTAATTTCATCTCGGCAAGCGGGACGAAATATTCCATATGAACGCACGGAAATATTCGTCTCGGTAAGCGAGACGTCCCGGTAAGCGGGATCATATGAACAGGCCCTAAGACCCTAATCATGCAAGTTTAATTAAACAGCGTATATATATCCACTGGAAATAATTCAATATTCCGTAATGTCCAAAAACACGTACTCCGTCATCAAACGACTTCTTTTCACTTAATTCTTCCAAATCGATGCCCAAACCGTCCAGGAAACACGGTTAGTTCCCCAAAATTTACCGTTGACCCAAGCATGAACTTTGGCTGTTCGACTCCCAGTTGTCCAGCTTAAAGTTGCCTTCCCATTCCCGCTGCCTATGTTAAAACCACTCGAACTGAAATCTTTGTAATCCAGGGATACATGAAAAGCTCCGATCGGTACATGGTAGACAAAATCTGATTTCTTACCAAACCAGCCGCTGCTTTTAAGAGTTCCTGAGCCTAACTTTATACGAACTTCGGTTCTCGCCTCATTAGTCACTGCAATACAGAGCAACAAAAATATTGAAAAGAGTAATTTGTAAGCCATTTTTCCTGAGGTTGCTGGCAATAAGTAAATAATAACAAAAATCTGATTCTTCAGAACTAATGATCACCCCGTTGCAAATTTTTTAACTATCTGCAATATGACCGAGCAGTCTATATATAAGCTTTCTTTTCCGGAAGCATATTTACGTCGTCTGGAACCCAAACTGAGAAGAGCTGAGACAGAGTGTATGCTTAAGGATAAAACAACTATGTAAGGAAAACGAACTTAGTAAAGCTGAGACGCCGAGACAATGGCCTGAGAACAGCTCTATAGATGAATATAATATTAGTGAGAAGAGCTGACACGAAATACGAACAATATCAAACTTTATTTGGGGAAATACCAAAATAAAGACGTCCAAAGCTTTTCAATATTCAAAAGAAACTTGATGAGGTTGATAACATTTAGTTCTTATTCCGAACGCTCACAGAGAAGCAATTGATATCTATGGAATAGTGGAATATTTGACTAGTTTATTTACGTTTAGATATACTACCAAATACAACATTTATGAGAAACTTTTTCCAATTAATTAATTTGTTTCCAATAATTTTCAGATGCATAGTCACTGCAGCAGAGATGCATCACAGCTTCACAAATCTTACGAAATAACAAATTATGCGAAACGTTAACACTCTTTAATGAACAAAGGGATTTCAAATTTGGAATGGTCTTACTAAAGATTTCAAAAATGTAAAGTTACATTTTCTTCATCTTTCATTTGATGCTAAACATATTATATAGATACCTAACAAGTTATATTGTATATATATACTTATGAATATATCAAATTAATATTACAATCATGTTTTATTGTATGTTTTATTTGGAATATTACTAATTTTGTGAGGCTCTTTTAAGCTGTGATGAAATTGTCTAGATCAAAATTTAGTCTATAGGATTTATAGTCCATTGCACTCAAAACCATGCATATATTAATGATTCAAAAAAGGTATCAATGGACTGCTAAAAGCATGAAATTTGCTGCTGTGTAAAACTATTTCAGACATTAAGTGTTTAATATATTAAAAGTGTATGTAGTGAATGTATATACATTATAATTAATGTATATATTGACCATTGCGATTAGCCGACTATGTTCTTAATCGTGCTTATACATTTTGGATTAAAACGCTTGAAATATTGGCTACGTTTAAAGTGATATTCATGCAGGAGTTTAAGCATTTATGACGACGTCAAGACGACGGCTAAACAAAAACTTTTTTATGATTGTATGGAAATCTTATCTTTTATTTACGTTCGCATGAATTCAATACTGTTTTGAAAGAGTAGAACAGAGCTTTTTTAATTAACGCTCCACTCTGCTGGAAAAACTATCCGTCTTGAAATGCATGGCTTGAAATGCAAGCATACTATACGTGAAAATATACATTCTTGCCGTTGTCATCAGTGCATGGGGGTCTCTAAAGCTTTGCTACACTTCTAATTATTCATTTATTTATGCTGTATAGGATCAATGTTATTGCATTAATAACCGTCGTCCTGTCGTCGCTGTCTCGTGTGTAAATTCTCTAAATCTCAAACGGTGGGTGCATGGGTGTCGCATGCAAATTGCGAAATCTATAGATGAATCGATGCAACTACCTGAAAAACGCGTCCAATACTTTGGATGTTGTCATACCATCATACCATTTGCAGAAAGTGCATCTTTCCTCAGTTAGGTGGAGTTTATGCAGCAAATATTTCAAAGTTACGATCCATAAAGCTATTACATTACGCTACTAGTTTGTGAATCAAAACATCTTTAGATTGTTCTTTCCATGCATATAAGGATTACAAACTTGAAAAATTAACTTTGTCACTAGAACGTCAGTCTTACGGTACTACAGTGTCCCAAAAAAACACAAACTATTGAAATAACGTATTGTTAGAATTTGAATGCCTATAGCACTATAAAGCTGAACGCAAATTAAGATGCATAAAATATTGACAGGGTGCATATACAGGGTATCCCAAAAAAACAACAATTGAAATGACGTATATGTTGGAATTTGAATGTCTCAGCACTCGGCTGAACCCACAAGTGCATAAAAGCTTGACATAAGTAAATTTTACGCATAAAGAATCTGTTTAAGAAGCTGCTTTAAATTCCTATAAGAGCAGAAAAACGTGCGTTTTACAAATATATTTTAAGTCAATATGTATAATATATGCACCCTGTCAATATTTTACGCCTCTTTGCGTTCAGCTTAGTACTAGGGCATTCAACATAGCAATACGTTATTTTAATAGTTTTGTGCTTTTTTGGGACACCTGTGCATGCAGTATATCGTGCTTTGAAAGCTTAAGGTGGCTCCCTACAGTTTTGATTGTACAGCACAGAATTGTATTAAAAACCCCCATTATTTTATCATCTTGCAAGTTATGATCACGAAACTCGGCCACATAACTGCTACAATATCGCGAATTACGAAAAATAAAAAATCTCGTTAAAAATCCCCGTTACCATGGTAACAAAGCGATTTTAAAAAGGGCCAATTTGCAGATTCTTTGATAATTTTTTGAAAATTTCTTCGGTAAAACTTATTAATTTTTTGCACACAGTAATCTTATCTATAATTCCTTCAAATGATAGCATTTAAAAAAAATCGTACGAGAATTTTTTTTAATCCTCAAAAAGCACTGTTTTTGGAATAAAAATATTCGGTTCGTACGATTTTCTTAACTGCACATTTTACGCACTTCAAGATTACAGGAAAGTGTGTTAATTTTAAGTTTTAAAAAATTTGACCGAAGAAAACACGACAAAAATACTTTTTTTTATCTATGTGACGTCACAAAAATCAGGATTTCAATTTCCTCGCGCGACCAGCCGACAATCCCACGAAGGCCCGCGCGTGTATATCACGACGCAATTTTAAAAAATCCGCCACGCGTGCAACGTGCAACGTGGACCACGCTTGTTGCGTGTAGCACTACTAATCTCGCGCGTGGACAAAATAACCGCGACACAGACCTAAAACTGTAGGGAGCCACCTTAATGCCTGATTCTCATTTATCGTAAACATGCCCATTGTCGGTGGTCATTGATGTATACAATCTTTTGTGCATTTTTTCTTCGTTGCTCACAGACAATGGATCGTAGAACATCGCCGATTAATGAGAACTAGGCTTAAGGTGGCTCCCTATAGTTTAAAGGCTGATTTCCACTGTTTCGTTTTTCGTACGCACGTACACGCACGTAAAACTTTGAATCCTTCTATTTTCAAAATATTTACAAATAAGTTAACAAATGCATACTAAAACTTGCGGAACACTAAATTCTGTTGCTTAATTTATTTGGTTATTTCATAAGTAACATTTAAACGGATTTAAAGTTTTACGTGCGTATACGTACGTATGAAAAACGCAACAGTGGAAATCAGCCTTAATTCTTTAAATCCGTTTGAGATTTAGGGAGTTTACACACGAGACAACGACGAAAGGACGACGGCTATTAATGCAATAACATCGATTCTACAGCATGAAGAAATGAATAATTGAAATGTAACAGGGCTTTAGAGACCTCCATGCACTGATGACAACGGCAAGAATGTATATTTTCACGTCTCCGTCGTCTCGTATAGTATGCTTGCATTTCAAGCCATGCATTTCAAGACGGATAGTTTTTCTAGTGGAGTGGAACGTTAATTAGAAAAGCTCTATTCTACTCGTTCAAAACTGTATTGAATTCATGCGAACGTAAATAAAAGACAAGATATCCATACAATCATAGAAAAGTTTTTGTTTAGCCGTCGTCTTGACGTCGTCATGCTTAAACTCCTGCATGAATATCACTTTAAACCTAGCCAATATTTCAAGCGTTTTAATCCAAAATGTATATGCACGATTAAGAACATAGTCTACTGGCAATGGCAATGGTCAATATATACAATAATTATAATGTATATACATTCTCTACATACACTTTCAATATATTAATTAAACACTTAATGTCTGAAATAGTTTTACACAGCAGCAAATTTCATGCTTTTAGCAGTCCATGCATTGATACCTTTTTTGTATCATTATTCATTAATATATGGTTTTTAGTGCAATTTGGATAAAACATGCACTGAGTGAGTTTTTCAAAGAGCATCAAAATAGCATGATTCCGAAGGACAAATGCTATATTCCAGGCCTGTGCTTATTTTATCTAAATATCACGAGAAGCCATCCTATTACGTATTAATAATGTTCATGAAAAATGTTCGAGACAATTATTATAGTTTTAACTTAATATAAAGCAAGTCGTCCACTGGTCAAATTATGAAACGCTAACGGCTTGAAAATCTCATTCAACTATGTAATGTTTTGTTATAGTCTTAATTGTTTCAAGGAAAGGTGTCTTCCATTTAAAAATAAAAGATAAAAGCCATATTTTCCACCCGAATTCAACTTTTATTTTATGTTGCGTGGCCGCCATGTTTATTTTGTTTTGAGGCAATCTGTGACCATTACTTGACGACTGCTTTAAGCTGATTGGTTTATTATTTATTTAAACCAGTTCAAAGTTGAATATAATAGTATCTATAACTACATTATTACATTATTCCATAATACAATAAAACATTGTAATGTTAATTTAATATATTCATAAGTATATATGCAATATAATTTGTGACGTATTTATTAGATACGTTACTATCTATATAATATGTTCAGCATCAAATGAAAGATGAAGAAAATGCAACTTTACATTTTTGAAATCTTTAGTAAGACCATTCCAAATTTGAAATCCCTTTGTTCATTAAACAGTGCTAACGTTTCGCATAATTTGTTATTTCGTAAGATTTGTGAAGCTGTGATGCATCTCTGTTGCAGTGACTATGCATCTCAAAATTATTGGAAACGAAAAAAGTTTCTCATAAATTTTGTATTTGGTAGTATATCTAAACGTAAATAAACTAGTCAAATATTCCACTATTTCATAGATATCAATTGATTCTGAGCGTTTGGAATAAGAACTAAATGTTATCAACCTCATCAAGTTTCTTTTGAAAATTGAAAAGCTTTGGACGTCTTTATTTTGGTATTTCCCCAAATAAAGTTTGATATTGTTCGTATTTCG